ATTGAGAGTGTTATCGGCAATGATATCCTGATCGTATCATTGTCTTGAATCAACTGACGCATTACCTTCATGTTTGAGCTGGACAACGCGGCCATATTTGGTGACGAACTTTTCAAAAATTATCGAGTGCCTCATTTTCAAGGTCGACGAAGTTTTCAAAGGGAAAAAAATTACGTCGGCGGAAAATCGTCTGCCGACGAAATTTTCAAGAACGACGAAATTTTCAAGACTTTACCGTACCAGTTTTTTTTTTTTTTTTGTAGCGAAAAAAGGGTCGACAAGAGCGTCGTGGTGAGTCGAAGTAGACAAAATGGCATCGACCGAAATTACCTTTTTTAGATTTGGTAGTAGGAAGCATTGGCCTATCTTTGCTTCATTTTTTTTAACAATTCTGTGAAGTGTTCGCAGTGCCTTATTTTCTGAGAGTACAAATAAAGACGCTGTTTATTTGATATTTGTTTTATTGATTGCTATACCAACAGGATGCATGAAATAACCTTAAATAGATTTGGTAATATGCAGCATATATATTCATGACTTTTTATCTTTCTACGAAGTAGGCCCTATTCACAATGCTTTAATATTTTGAGAGCCTGGATAAAGACATGTTATTAGTTTGATACGTGTTTCTGTGGTAAATTAGTATTTCCAGCTGTGTACTGAAAACATAACTTTTCTTCAGCAGTTTTTTTTTTTTTTTTTTTTTGACTGTTTTTTTTTTTTTTTTTCGCCCGCTCGCACCGATTTTGGGGTCCCCAGAGGATGTCATCCATAAAAATAAAAAAGTGTGGCCTTAATTACAGTTTGCAACAGTTGTCTAGACTGATATCTTTGCAGCGTCCACTGCGGGAGAAGATTTTAGTGTTTTAGTCTCATATTTAATGTTATAAAACTGTATAACTTCTTTGAAACAAATACCTACTACTACTACTACTACTACTTAACAGGGGAACGTAACACCGTACTACTATATGTAACCATCGTGTCGTGAAAAGTAGACACGAGTTGAGGGCCCAATTGAAAAATCTCACGTCGGGCTGTGACCTATATGTTAATCAAAGCAGCTCGAGGTTGACAGAGGGACATTTAAAAGGTTGACGTTATTAAGCGTCCACACAGGTGAGCGATAACAGCACAATCGCAACCACGTTTAAAAGGTCTGAGGTTCGACAAGACAGGCGATACAACAGGAGAGCAGACAAGTGGAGTAGCAGTGATATTCAGTAAGTCAAGGAAGTAATCGTATGTGAACATATTACTTCGTTACACATTGTGCTTGTCAGTTGCAGCACTGAAATCTTTTCAGAAACTTTCTCCTTTAGGATCTCGGTCTCTATGTGTCTACATTTATCTTATCACTGGGGCGAGTATAACTATTTTTATGGTGTATACATGACTTGTTTAATGTTTGCCACTGTTTTAAATGTGTGTCCAACGAGCTGATAATATGATATTGACGCTGAATCACCGAGGCTGTGAGCCCCTACAATATCTGCACTATCTCGTCAGCGAGTTTTCCAGTGTGTGATACGTCGTTACATAAGGCTTCGAGTTTTATCAAGAAGTCTGAAAAACATCAGGTTATATCGCAAAAATGAAATGTCCTTGTGCCATAGAGAAGTTGACTTAAAGTATAAGTGAAAATCCCCTGAATGTGTTAACACAGTCAGGGTTTATTATTGATTACCTAACCTATATATGTCATTTTGTTCACTTTATCAGTACATGATTGGACTGTGGTATTTCAATATAAAGAGCGTGCACAAAAACATGCGGTTTAAAGGACGTGATTACTTCCTAGCGTTTGGATCAGCGTCCTTGTGTGATCGTATTTCTTCTCTTGTCGTGCTTCCACTGCGTCCGCGTGGGATTATTGGAAATTGAATCTCTCTCTCTCTCTCTCTCTCTCTCTCTCTCTCTCTCTGTGTGTGTGTGTGTGTGTGGGGGGGGGGGGGGGTTAGACCTGTAGGAAAACACGTGCACTTGCATACACATTTGTAATTACATACTCCCATTATCACACATGTATATATTTAACGTACATTAAGCATACATAGATAGATAGATAGATAGATAGTTTATTCCACCGTGAGCAAAAAGTACAAATTATTTTTACAAGCTTAGAATATACATAATATATATACAATCAGCGTAACAAAAAAATTTCATACTCAAGTTGGTCGAGTCAATATGGCCTTAATATATGTACACGTTCACAATCAGTACTCTCCAGTAAAGTTCACATGTACGGACGTGTGCACCATTCATTGCTAGTGCGTCAGCTCCAGCGTCACACGTTCTAGACCACGTTTATGAAACTCGCTGAAATCAATCGCTTCGGTAAACACGGAGAATTCAGTGCGCTTTTGTATCACAAACCGTGTGAAATCGTCCTCTCAATTATGGGGTCTTATACTTCCCTTTCAGACAAGCACTAGGGGCTAGCTCGTCATAACAGCAGCGGAGTGAGGGGGAACTTAACACCGTACTTAAACACCGTAGCTGCTACATGTAGTATACCACGGGTGCATACCAGTGCGTTATACATATAGAAGTCAAGAAACCGTGACAGCGCTTCAGATAGTTCTGCGACCTATTGCGGGGCTGATAACTTAATTTGGGTGAACATTTCTACATTTGTTTTTATCTTTATCGAAGGTTTACAGGCTGACGTATTCCCCGAACTGGTGACTGTTGGTGAGGGGGAAATATGACGTTTCAGATGCGAGTCGTAACTGCTCTCCTTGTCGTGGCGTTAACGACAAGCGGGGAGAGCGTGCCCAAGGCCGTATCCTCAAATCTGCAAGACAGTAGCGACGCTGGGGCAAACGTATCGAGTCCTGTAACCTTTGATTTCGATCCTCCGGAGATACAGTTGCTGAAAGAAGGTGAGACACGAAACGTTAAATTCAACTTCACTCTTCGCGACTGGGCGAAAAACCTGGGCGGTTCTACTCCATTGCTGGTGCGGGTGACTGTCGGATACTCCCACCCCGCCCGAGCGGAGATCCGACCCCACGGGGAAAAGTTACTCACGCTCCGTGCCGAGGACAGTACTTTTTCGGATAATGGTGGGGTTAAAGTCGCGGTCGTGCCCCTCGGCGAAACTGAAGTCAAAGCAGACGAGACGATGCGGGTAGGATACGACAGTTTGAGAGCGGAAAATAAAAATGATACCGCCTCAACTTCAGTGGAAACCACGGCAGATGTGTGCGGGGGACACTGCATACCCGTCACTGGAACATTTCTGGGATTCACCCACTTGGAGTTTTCCATTTACAGAAATTCGTCCCTAGCAGGCAGCGAGCCCCAATGGGAAGATCTCCCGGTCAGATACCGGATCAGTGTCATCCGGCGAGTCCGGGCCGTGGATGGGATCTTTACTGCGGTGGTCATCCTACTGGTTGTGATAGCCAATATAAGCATGGGCTGCAAGACGGACTTGGCGGTAGTGAAAGAAGTCTTGAAAAAACCCTTCGCGCCTGCCATCGGATTTTGCTGTCAGTTTATAATTATGCCGTTGGTAAGTGGAAGAAAAATTATCTATCCCTTCAATCCCAGGGCCGTAGCCTGAGCAAAATGCCAGGGGGGGGCAGTAAGCGGACACGAGGGGGCGAAGCTACCGAGGGGGGTGGGTGTGGTGTGTAAAATTCCAAATTCCAGGGGGGGCAGCTGCCCCCCCTGCCCCCCCGGAGGCTACGGCCCTGAATCCCTATCTTTATCTATCCCTGTTAGTATCCCTCTTTCACTCCCCCTCCTCCCCTCTCTCTCTCTTTCTCTCTCTCACACACACACAGACACACACACACACAAATGCGAACGATCACCATCATCAATGGTACATATAGTTTTGAAATTATTAGCGGGCAAATATATACGTACAACTCAGTATTACGGGTAATCCTACAATCCTACTTGGATTCTGAGCATCTCTCTCTCTCTCTCTCTCTCTCTCTCTCTCTCTCTCTCTCAGTGTGTGTGTGTGTGTGCGTGTGTGTGTGTGTGTGTGTTGCCTGCGATGACTCCATGTGTTAAATGCACATATGCCCCGGTACAGCACTTTGTTCATACTGAGTCGCGTTGATGTACCACAGTGCGCATATATGCTCTTTTTTATTTTGAAGAACAACTAAATGCTGTTTTCTTACCAAATTCAGTTCTATAATTAGACTGATTGCTATCCTCTTGCTTAAAAACACTGCAAGTGATATTTTAAGCCATCTGGTTTCATATTCGACATATTGTATTGTAAATGTGAAAGAGCAAGCGAAAAATAAAAGGGAAATACTATTTTAAGGGCAATTAATCTCCTATGTGACGGAACATGTTTTAGTTAACATTATATCTAAATTATGGTTCTAAAGTCTGAAAAGTCAGGAAGTATAAGAGACTAAATAAGTGAATAAAAAAGCAGGCAAGAAACAAAGTAAATAAAACTCCATCGCACAAAGAGTACTAAGAAGGCCAATCAACAGGTGTCGAGTAATTCAGTAAATATATCAAATTATTTTGTTGTGAGCCGTTAATCTTTATATAAAACACTCTTTTTATCGTTTTCGAAGTGAATTCGCCTTCGTAACACTGGTCAAAGGTCACTGGGCTTTTCTTTTATAATCTAAATATTATGAAAAAAACCAAAAACCTCTGTTTTACACCCTTATACCTCCATCAGCTGTCTGTCCCGTATAGCGTGTAGAAGGACGTGCTTAACCCGATAGTTGTAATAATGTATCTCGGCTGAAATCCACCCTGCCTGTCGAAGCACTAATGAGCACGTACTGCGTTTTCACTCTACGTAATATTACTGTTAAGACTGCACGGCTTAAGTGAGCTGACAAAGGGTGCTGCTTTACGCTTAGTGGCTTATATATCATCCCATTTCCATAGATTTTTAGATCGACCTACAATGTATCCCTGTGGGGAGTCTCACTAGATTACTGTCAGCTTGGCCGGCTTAAGCGTCTGTCCCGCCTACTAAAAGCTGTAAGGGGGTAATTAACTATGGTGCCCGCTCGGCTGACTGCAGGGAGTTAGGTCGATCTAAAACTTAATCTTTAGATCGATCTAAATCTCTGGGAAAGCACCCTATGATTGACACATTTCAGTATTCACCTGTAGATCCTTTCGAACACCGGATTCATATAAAAGGCAATAGATCTACACACACTGGAGAATAGAAGTGTCAACCCTACTGAACCAATACTTTGGGGGAGATAAATGACTGTGGAATGATGTGATCCTTGTATCATTTTATTAACACCAAATTTCACAAAAAAACCAACAATACAATTCCATGGTACAGCGGTTTTATACTCATTAGTCACATTATAAGTAAACCAGGCATTATAACATTGATTACTCTGATTCAGGGGGTGACACCTCTATTGCCCGGTGTGTGTATATACATGTGTTTCAATAATAATAATAAACAAATAAATTAATTTAGCATTTTCCTTTTTAAAACAAAGGTATGCTTTTCCTAACATGTTGGGAAAACTGCGAACTTAACCCCGTTTTCGAACTCATGTTTTTCCACTTTTCCCCGCTACGAGTTCACCAGTCTCCTTTATTACTAGATTGGCTGAACTAAAAAACTCTGGTAATTGACCCAAACTTTGTCAACGTTTGTGGATATATATAGTATGCCTTGGTTATGAGGGTGAATAGTGATGAAATTTCCATGAAAATTAAATGCTTGCTTTAATAAAATCTCCAAATTCATCTTGATCACTAAAAAAATGTTCTTAGACTAAGTCATGAAAGCAGTCTCTGGGTTTCAACACGGCAAGTAAGAAAACCTCGGCTTTCTAGAGTCTTAAAACAGTGTGGGTTAACACGGTCTCTTGCCCGCAAGAGACCCCCCCCCCAACCCCCGTGATATTTCGTCTTCAGGTAAAATTTGATCAGCAAAACTGAAGTGAACCAGTAACGTCATGAAATTAAAATGTGTCGCTGAGCACATAATCCGCCGTGTAAAATGTGTTACAGTCGTAATAAGGACCAGTGCACGTATGCCTGCCCGTGATGATTTGACAAATAAGGATTTACATCTCCTAAGCTTCCACGTCGTCTCATTATTTTGCGTTACCTTTCTGGGATATTGGCAATTATAAAAAATTTCTTATATAACCGACGTAGGCTGCCTTGTATTTGCGTCATCATCATCTTCATTATTTTCTCATATTTGCATGATGAGGATTGTTAACTATATGAGATCCAATTAACTCTATCGTTACCACGTACCAGCATACAGATACGTCATCTGTCGGAGGACATTACCTGATATGGAAGCTGAATGGGTGGTTTCTGTAATAATTGTAAGGCATCTCGAGTATTTACTCTTTTACCATTGCAAGTTTATTTTATTTTTCTTTCCTAATATTTATTTAATTTGATCTTATGTTTTTATTTATTTATTTATTTATTTATTTATTTATTTAAAGCTTATCTGCAAGTGTTAAGAACATGAAATATACCGGCTGCTAGCAGACACAATGTTTACCCTTGGGTCTCCATTATCTCTATACATCTGGTGTAAAATGTCCCCAGTGTTTGTCGGGGATTTATAAAATAATTTATTCCATCATGCCCCGTACATGTAGGTTTATTTCCTAGTCTAAGTCCCAAGTGACGACCAAACGTTTGACCAAAAAATGAGGTCAAAATACGATTTCATTTTCCTTTATTCAATTTTATTTTCCTCAATTTCTACACGAGTAGAATTCAATCTTTTTCAAGTAATTTAAACACTGACAGCAGTCTTAGCAGTGAACGGCCGGTAGCACTTTTAGTGAGTCATTTTACAATGTGGATGTAAGGCTAAGAAGATTATCAAATTGAAAACGGGGCTCCTGTATAAAAGGTGTCTACAGAGTTAGGGGTTCACCTGTGTATATTAAGGCGTCAAGCTATCAAATGGTACTATTGGATTATGGAGACACAATAGGCAAAGGGAAACAGGTTCAATTTGGGATAATTCTGGGTTTATAAAGGGAAAAGTTCTGCTTCATTTCCCAAGTGGGTAAGATGAGAAGATGGCTGCGTAAATGCCCAGTCACAATGTCGGCGATCTGTCGGGGATTAGTTTTGGCCGGGGGTCGTCGTAGAAAATAAAGAATCCTTGAACAATCCTAGCAATAATCCTAATAAAAGTGGAGCAGTCACATTGTCTGAGATTTTTTTAAGGATTTTGACCCGGTTTTGTCGAAAAATCGTGGGATTAGCCTCCGATTGCATCGGAGGCGATCGGAGACGATATCTGCGAGCGTCTTTTCTCGTACTTTTTTCCCCCTGGGTATATGTGGTTATACAAAACTGTATATGGGTATATATTCGGAGGACGCCTCCGATTAATCGGAGGGCATCGTAGGTCATCGGAGATTGTGTCTGGGAAGCCCAAAATGGGTGAAAAAATCTTGCGAGAAATCTTAAAATTTTAAGTTCAAAGTTGGGGACCGCGACGGGTGTGGCGATGTCTAAAAAATCTGCGACAACCCGCAGGCGTCCGGAGAGCGCCTCCGACGGGTGCAAAATCGTGAGATCTGTCTCAAGATTTTGTTAAAATTTCCCGGGTTTTACCCATCCCCGACGCATCGCAACTGATTTGTGACTGGGCCTTAAGACATGGAAGCGCACTTGCACCGCTTGCGATTGGTTTTTGATAAAAAAGCCACTTAAAGCTCCTCATGTTGAATGTAACCACATGCATTTCTTATCTAATATCAACTACACGTCCCTACTGAAAAAAATATCCGTGTAGTTAAGATACCATTATCTGAAATTCCTGTCGGTGGTTTCGTCTACACGAAGATCTAACCTAGACTTGCTTGCTTCTGAAAGTTGTTGATGATTTTACTCACGCTATTTTGTTACGTTAGTGAATAAGTGCCTCTCCTGAGCGTTATCCAAAGTGCCTTACTTACCTTTAGAAATATAAGGTACATGTGCTACAAAGGGTAGCAATGTAACCCCCACTGATTGTTATAATGCAAATAAAACACGCTTATACAATATATATTAAAATATTTTCCCGATCTATGTTCTTTTCTTTATTAATCTATCCATTTACCTTTTTGACTATTCTTATTAATCTTCATTCTTCCACGCGCAGTACTCTGGTAAAGTTAAAGTCAAAAATCGGTTAAACGTCAACTCATAAGATTTATCTGATGCATTGCGCAGGCTATAAAATCGGCTAAAAAATTTCAAACATTTAAAAGGTTGTATGTATCATTTCTTTTCAATGAATTGTCTTTATTAGTATGTGGACTCGTTTGTAAAATTGTGCTTTTTCTATATATAATTTATCGTGTCCATGTGTTCATTGACCCTGTACATATAACTGTATATTCATTCCAGACTGCCTTTGCCGCGACACACGCTCTACAATTGGATCCCACCCTGGGTCTGGGGCTCTTTACCCTGGGGTGCTCCCCCGGGGGTGGAGTGAGCAACGTCTACACCTACCTACTCAATGGTGACATTTCTCTCAGTGTGACAATGACACTGATCAGCACTGTGGCTTCACTCGGTAAGTGTTCCAAGATTCAAACTTTCTCTCTCTCTAACACACACACACACTCTCTCTCTCTCTCTCTCTCTCTCTCTAACACACACACACACTCTCTCTCTCTCTCTCTCTCTCTCTCTCTCTCTCTCTCACACACTCACTCTCTCTCTCTCTCTCTCTCTCTCTCT